GACAGATTAAGAAGGCAAACAAGCGCTCCCTGGCATTAAACAGGTGTTTTATGAAGGATTGATAATAAGTATACATTAGTTACAGTGTTGTACTGTATGTTGGATTTGGATGAGATGTAAAGCCAAGCTTATATTGTAAATGACTCTGCCTTGGTCACCCCCTTTATCACTTCTGCCAAAGGAATGTTTTATTAGGATCACTTATTAATCTAAATTACGGTTTGCCCTTTTGGACGGGACTGTTCTGTATCAAAGCAGCTTGACGTTTGCCTGCTTTCATACTGACAGCATGTATGACTGGCTAACCAGCAGCTCATGTGACACCAAACCGAAACGCTCCCTTGTTTGTAAGGAAATCTAAATTAAATGAAAATTAAATTTCAGTGTTCTTAGCTAATTAGTACATACCATCTACTTTTAACTGCGGTATTGCCATTAGTTAACAAAACTTCCCTCGGTATATGTAATGGAAAACATGGCAGAGTCAGAAACAGAGCAGTGCGAGTAGACCTGCGACACCGAGAGGCGGTGGATTACCTGTGGCATGTACCCAACCATCTTCCCTGGAACTCCATGACCCGGGAAAGCGGGGGGCTTCCCCAGCACGGTGATGTGACCCTTTGAAATCTTCAGCCTTCCCAGGATGCACTTCAGGAGGGTCGTCTTGCCACACCCGCTGGGCCCCAGCAGACCATAGCTGGAGGAGGAACAAGAGAAACACATGGCTTTGCATCACAGCAAGTTTTTGTGAAATCATAGACATATCCTTCACTGACACAGAAGCTTTCCTTCTAGTCTAGGGCTGCACACCTCCAGTCCTTAGGGACTTGTTTCTTTTTTCAAATGAGCCTTTAATTATATAACTAAACTCATAAGTTGCTTAATTGGGCAGGTTGACACCTTTCCATATTCTTAAGAAGCTGGAGATTCAAAGAGACCTATAAATCTCTGGGACAGCAGCTCATAAAAACATAAGTGCAGTTACAAACAAGAGGAGGTAATTTGGCCTATGTGGTCCTTTTGGTAGTTGTTCATCGATCCAAGGATCTTATCCGGCTCATTCTTGAAATAAGCCAGGGTATTTGCTTCAACAACTTGGCTGGGCAGCTTGTTCCATATTCCCACGGGCCTTCGCATGAAGAAGCGCCTCCTGGTTTCTTAGGTTTAAATACACCTCTATGTCATTTTCACCTGTGCCCTCTGGTTTGTGTCCACTGGCTTGACTCTGTTCATCCGCTTTGAGGATTGAGAATATTTGTGTAGAATACCAGATCCCCTCTGCTCTGCTCCTCTGCTCTGGTTCCTTCAGTGTCACGCCCTCTGCAGCCAGAGGGCGCTCCTTCTCTGTCCT